TACTGAGCATCTTTCTCTTTGACACCATGTCTGATATCCCACGTGATCTGTCAAATACTAATGCATGAAAATCCTAACCTCAAAAAAATCACCCGATACAATTACCATCGTCGAGAGATTACTTTGAATTAACATATGATTTGAATTATAAAGCAAATATGAATAAAGTTTTCGCAGTTTTCAGTCTTTCAAATTGTGAGATATTGTGTCTCTGCAGACGGTTGAAGGGATTTTTTAAAACATGCAGTCGATTTTTTCTGTATGAATAGGCCGCACAGTTTTAGAACTCTAAACATCGCTGATGCTGTAGCCCATTAGAATTTTTATGTGCTTTTAATTTCGGTCAACATAATCCCTCCAGCCTTCCAGGGATATGCAAATGCCTTATTGCTAAGAATTTTTTAAAACGTTGTCTCGGCTGTAGAAGATAAGGCAACAATTTATCGGTTGAAAGGCAGTCACTTTGAAAAGTCGGCTCTGCAATTATCATCGGTCGTTCGCCTGAAATGTACTCCAAGATGATTCTGTAACGTCTTAATGCTAATTGCTCTGTTTTACCACTGATACTTACACTGAAAACTTAAGCTGAACCCCTCGTCCCCTAACCTTTCACCTTGAAGCTTTATAACAAAGATGTATATATGTACGGTACAAGCGTAGCGTTTCTTAATAAATTATCTGCAAATTAAAAAAATAAAATGAGAAAGCAGAAAAATATTGCTTTCCATCCAAGAAGACCTGGTTTCTTGCTCTCCATTGCGTCATCAACTCGTACATCATTAAATAATTCCAGAAGCTTACGAAAATCCATGTATAAATTCGTCTAACCACTTATTTATTCATAGACATAATTTGTTTTTGTTTTTGCATATTTCTCATAGTAAATTTATGTATCTACCTTGTCACCAAATTAATATTGGTGTTCGCATTTACACGTTGTTGGTTAGAGGTTCTCTAAGGAAATATGTTATATGTGTTAATCAACCCTAATAAAAAATCCATTATTTTCCATTATCTAGTATCAAATAATATAATCTTCATCTCAGTTTATGTTTTGTACGTTGTCCAATATGTGTACCTAATAATATGTCCACCGCTGTATAGGACATTTGACCCGAAATTATTCTTAAACTGCGACTTACAAATTTTTATAGCTTTTAACAACAAAAACAATGGTTATGTAAATGCTACACCTGTATTTCAAATCCAAAATGGCGTAAACAGCAACAATTTCCACTCCTACCACATTCTGCCGATTGATAAAGACAGTGATTTTAACGCCAATGCAACATCATTGAATTTATATAACCAGCCGCTAATAACCAAAATGACACTCAGCGATAAAGCAAATCTCACCGCCATCACGTGGGCGCATGCGGTTAATAGTCAGCAAGAGCTGAGCGGTGCGCTCAACAGTGAGTAGAATCAAGTGCATTTTTTGTACGCAGTCACCATGACGTATACGTAACTTCAAATCACTGAGTTGCTTATACGCACACATAACTAATCGTATTTGATATGCATGTATAAATGCGTTTCTAGGTAACATTAACATGATTGAGGCGGACATTGTGCTCGGCAAGCTTAACAACACTGGTGACGATTTGCCAGTGATGGCGCATCCGCCAGCCAATTCCTCGGATCTCTCATTGACTGAATTCATGTTGCGCATTTTGGAGCACAATGAGGCGCATGACGAGAATGCGAAGGCTGTCAAATTGGACTTCAAGTCCATCGAAGTGTTTGAGGGCTCGCTGAATATTCTAAGTGAACTGATACCATTGGTAAGTGGATAATGTCAAATCGAAATTTTACGCAGAACAGTAAACAACTGACCCAATTTTCAGTGATTATTTAAGGATAAATTTTTTTTTCTTTTTTTCCGTATCGCTTAGATGACTCAACCCGTTTGGTTGAATGCGGACATAATACGCGGACCTGTAAATCAGACCAGCACTGTACCGGTTCATCCGGAGCGGTTTTTCGCTGGCGCTGCGAAATTCGAATCAGCCGTACTCTCGATTGGTTGGACGACACGATGGGGTGCCAATTTCACAGACGGTGCTTACACGGAGCAGCAAATCGACGAAATGCTGCTTGCAATCAAAGTAAGTACTATTTGCTTTCTTATTGTTGCCGTTGAAAGGATTTTTTTTATTTTTTTGCTTGATTAGAATAACAATGTAACCGCCAAACAACATCCAATCACATTCCCCGTGCGCGCTGGTATTGCCGCCAACAGTTTGGAACAACTGCATGCGCTGGTGGCTGCTGTCAATGAGACTAACGAAAGCTCACTCACCATTTGGTCATCGGCTGGTGATTTCGTTGATGTGCCGAAGTTACGCCAGCTCATTTTCTCGTTTGGTTTTGAACGCGTATATTTGGACGTACCGGCGGATTTAGCCGATCAATTGGGATTGGAACGCGGGGAAACTGGCAGTGCCGCCAGCAGATTGCCGTCTTTGCTCAGTTTTAGCATTGTCAGCGCCTGCTTGTATTTGACCAGCATGTGGCTTAATCGCATTAGGTTGTAAGATTTTTTAATCAGTGGGCAAATTCCGGGAGATGGAAAACACGGTACTTTGAAAAGTACGAAAAACTCTAAATAGTTTTTGAATATTCAAAATTTTAAATACATATACTATACATTTAAAATTAAATCCGAGCATTTTTCGCATAAAAAGAAATCATAAAATCACATCTCATCGCGGCGTTAGAGTCACCAAAGCACTGGCCAGGCACTGTGTCTGCTTTATTTATGTAGAGCCCGCTGACCGCCAGCTTAGCGCGAAGGTAGCTAAAAATCTATGACGACTTTTCTGGTTACATGAATCCGACTATCGGGAGAGCAGTATGTAATGGTTATGAAAAAAATTTATAAAATTTTTTTTTTTAACTTTTGACCAAGCATTGACAAAACGCATCCTTTACTAAACAAGTGAAAATAAAACAATTCTTATTTATATTACAATTTTCATTTTACATTTTATTGACATAATAAATACTTCATTACATTAATCGATTTCATATTTTGGTTTTTTATACGGGAAAGTTTTCACCCTATCACGTTTTGCTGTTCCAGTTACTTTCTCACATTTTGTCGTGCTTGCTTTTAAAGCTTTGCATTAACGGTATACTGGAAAATATTAAAAAAGACCAGCTTTGTACTTAATATAATTTGTTTTTCTTTCTTTTTGTTTTTAATTTCAAGAAAGGGCACACAATTTGTGTTTGAAGTGAAAATACTTTTTGATTTTGAGCCTTACAAACTAGAGAAGAGAGTTACTGCTTCACATATATGTGAATATGTAGATTTGTATGCATTTATTGTATGAAGACATAATGCTTAAGGTATAAGGGAGCATGAAAAGTGATAATAAACTATTTTAATTTTTAATACCAATAAATTATTTTTTGTTTTATAAATTAACAATGTAGGTATGCAGATACATTAATTTAGAGTCGTAAGGGTTTTTGAAGAAATTGCAAATTAATTATAAAGCAATACAATAGGTATATGGATTTATATTTTCCGTGGCTTCAAGCACTAAATTGTCATTTTGGGCTGTGTTTGTTATTTGATTTTAATTATTTTGTTATACAAATGTCATTTGATTACATGGATACCATTGCGGAAGTGACTATGACAATGTTGGAAAAAATTATTTTATATAAACTTTTCATATGAATAACGTCTATATGCTAGAAATTACTTTAATTACTGTTTTTGAGGTTGCATTTCATTATTTACATACATACATATACATATATATAGTTAACGTAAGTAGAGTTGCATTCTTAGAAACTTAAGCTATACTTGCTTGGTCTCCTAGTTGCATTCAACAATGGCAGGCGCTCACATAAGGAGCATTTGAAGAAAAAAAAACTACTACATATGGAATCTACTAACAAACATAACACATACTATCTACTTATCACATCAGCACGCGGTGTTGCGGGTCGCAGTAAGCTTTCGCTTAACGGCACATCGTTTTGTAGCACTTCACTACCTTGGTTGTAGCCCAACAGCGACACAACTTCCTTCTGTGGCTTTCTTAGCGGCGTTAGCGCTATCGAACGCGTTGTGCCATTGACAATGGGATTGAGTAGCGCGTTTTTACTCTTCGGATCGCGACAGAGTTGTGACATATATTTTGTTGGATACCAACAAATGAGCAATGTACCGACGGCAAGCATAATGCCGGTCAACACTTGACCTAGTGTCATCATTAATGGTACCAAAGCGATTTTCCTGGCGATATCTGGTGTAACACGTACGCGCTCTTCGGCCCACATGAGCGGTATAAATGTACGTGGAATTTTGTCGAATGGACTGTGTAGAGAAAAAAAGGACATATTAAAATTGTTATAAGTAAAGGTTTAACGTTAGTTAAACTTACGCCATTCCAGGTACGGGCGACATGAGATAGTTCGCCTGGAAGCCACCGCCCACGTCCATGGGCAGACCAGCATTCGGTTCCAACGTCATGAAGAATTCATGCTTTAAGGGATCAGGTGACAGTCCCTCGACTGCTTCCAAATAACTAGGATCGGCTTTGTAGAAATGTGGAAATGATGTATACGTAGGCGAGTTATATTGGCAGGGTGCTAAATTCATTACACCAGCTTTTTCACATTTTCCATTTACGCAAAAACATTTCATTTCTGGATATAAAGTACCTAAAAAAATTAATTATTTTAAATTAATGCATACACATTAATATATACATACATATTAATTAACAACTAACTATATGAATGTGTAAACTGACCCTAAGCTCTACGCTTATATTTACTGAGTGTGATCGCGGCATAACTGATCAAAACAGCTGAGAGCAGAGTAGAGTTTGATAAAACCAAATTTCTTTAACATACTAAATATGTGATTATTTTCATTTGTTAAGTGTTATAATTAAATATGGTGTTTTTAATAAGTCTTAAATTAGAAAAATTAAGTAAATAAACGTGGTAAGTGCTTTTCATTTAACAATTAAGTAAATACTTCTTGCTGATTATGTAGTAAGCCAATAATTTATTATGCAATTTACTTATTGGAAAGTGAATATAAATTTAACTTCTAATTAAATGAGCTTACTTATGACCACAACTTACCATTGTCAAGCGCCCTTTCAGTAGCGGCATATTTGAACGCGGTGACTCCGTGAATTTTCACCGTCTCAATATAATCCAAAGGCACCGCACGGCATAAATTCTGCAAAAATATTTCTATCGAGTCTGTAGGTACAGTATTTGGTGGGAAGAATTCTCCCATTGAACCTCTAACACGACCACATTCACCTTCATAAACGGTTTGTGTTTTGTGATTCCATTCGTTAATTTGTCCAATTTTTCGCAGATCATCTGCGCCGGTATGTATATTAAAGTGACCGTCATATACTGAACTGTCGTTGCGCTGTACGAAACAAGCAAAATAATTATGATTGAAAATTATGTTGATTGGTTGAATTTGCGGAGACGGCACGTACCGTATATAACCAGCCTACTCGATCGAATGGCACCACAAAATCTGCAGAAAATTTAGATACAAAATTGCCCATTGTAACTAATGGATCACTATAACCGGCAAATATCCATTCATTTGCAGTTTTTGTAATTGATACTTCTTCTCTGTACACTTTTAAAACATTTCTCAATATACTCTTTTGAAAGTATGAGCCATTAATGGCTTGTAAAGCGGCACCCTGTGTGTTAGAAAGGATACAATTTTAGCAAAATGTTAATTAATGAATGTACCTTACAATAAGCACTTACATGCGCCACTGTATTTACTGAGGTTACGCGATCAGTGAGTTTTCCCTTACTATTCGCTTCATCGAAATAGAATGCAGCATATTTACGATATGATACAGTATTATTGTTCTCATGCCAAACCATATCTACCTTATCTGGTTTTTCTCGAAACCGATATGGGCCTAACTCCTCGAAACGTGGCTTCTTGCCGGACCCAACGTAAAAGTCTTCCGGATTCGTCCAATTGAATAGATATACATCAAAATTAAGTGGTAATGGTGAAACTTTCCAGTCTTCATATACGGGTGATTTGGGACTTAAAGTCATTTCCTGAAAAAATAGAAAATGTCAATCAACAATTTATTCACTAGAAATATGTTATTCAGTTATGGCATCCAAAATTACAAATATATATTTCAGATTACAAAATTTAATATATACTATACTTAAATGGCACATAGTGGTAGTGGTAGTAGCTCAATATTTACATTTGATATACGTAACCGGTGGGTAATTCATTTGAAAGAGTTTAGCGATCAGCTAGCAGGAAATTAGTGTATAATTAGAATTGTTGGGAATAAAATTAGTTAGTCGTCATAAAATAACATTTGTGATCGAATTAGCGCTTCAGATGAAATTTGATTTACAACTGAAGTTACTTTAGCAGCTGTGCAATTACATTGAATTGCACTTTATTTTGACATACTCTCAGTAGACTGGCAAATTATGAAAAATATAACCCCCTGAACCAGTGATAAGGTATTTCTACTCCCAATGTTCATACGTATTTTCAATCGCAAATGCAATTGTAGAAAAAAATAAAAGTATTGCATATAAATACCTGGAAATATCTGTATAACAACATATGTACATAAATATGTCGTCAATTAAATTACACGATTTTTAATTATTAAATAGCTCTAAAAATTTGATTAATTAATTAAGTCATGTGAAAATTCAAAGAATTTCTAATTAACTGATAATTGAATTCTTACAATGAATTTTATATTTGTTAAGAAATACATACACTGGTGGCTAAATAATTTGAAACGATTTTCTTTGAACAACGTTCTGACAAAAAAGCACCCGGAAAATGTGCCTCAAATTTTGTATTTCTAATCAACTTTCGTGTGCGATTGTTGGAAAAGGCTTTCGGCGGTTCACTTTATTCAAAAACACAAGCCTACGAGAGATACAAAGACGGTCGATCTTTGAAGACATTCCTCGTTCTGGACGACCTTTGACCTATTCAGCTGATGAATTTATTAAAAAAAGGATATGATGGTGGAAAGTCATCAGACAAATGTTAGAGAGATGGCAAGAGAGCTCGACATCTTTTGCGAGTTCGTTTAAATGAATTTGGTAGTTATTTTTGGTATGAAATACGTTCCGATAAAGCTGCATTTTTTTTCAAAGGAGTACCGTAAACAGGTCTCTTCGGACTTGATCGTGCGAATTCCGATTCTACATTCATGGAGAGCATTATAACTACCGATGAGACATGAGCTTATGAGTTTAACGGAATGGAACCCGTTTTCAAGGCTTATAAAGTGTGTTTCGAGAACCGGAAAAATCGTTGGCATAAGCGTATTACATCTGATGGTGATTACTTTGAAGGGGACAAAATAAATATGCATAAATAATTAAATATTTTGCGTTTTATTTGTTTTACTTACAATTTTCGTGTACTTTTTTGTCACAATTATATGTGAAAATTGTGCGTAGGCTTTTTATATTTATAAATTACTTCATATATTCGTATGTATTTTCACTATGAAAGGGGACTTTTTTTCGAGATAACAGTAACACCAATATTATTTTACTTGAAAAGGTATTAGTAGTCAATTAGGGTGCTCACATAGCAACGTGTTACTTTTTCTCGAGACTACTGCAATACTTAGTATTATTACGTATTATTTCACTTTAAAGTATATGTATCTTAGTCGAAAAAGTCTTTTCGTATTTTGTCAATACATGTCGTTGCAGTCATATATCTCCTGTGCCATTGTGTCATACCATATAATGTTGGAAAGATGATATATTAAGCTTCACTTAACAAAAAAAATAAATTCGAGGAAGTTGAAAAAAAGTTAAGCTACTCAAAAATGAGGGAAAATAATGAAGAAATTAGCTAAATTTAAAACTTTTTGTATAAAATTTGTGGAGTTTACGAAGACGATGATGTATCAGTTCGTGTAGCACAACAATGGTTCGCTCGCTTCCGTTCTGAAAATTTCAAAATTTTGATTTATCCTGATGGAATAATGTCTCTAGCGAAAAAATGACAAAAAATGGTCGACCAAAATTATACAATATGTTTATTTATTTATTAATATAAATATAAAAAAAATATATAAGTTGAAGTTTGATTAGAAATACGAAAGGACTTTTTCGACTAACCAATATGCTAGTTGCAAAAAAACATGTATGTATGTACATATGTTTTTTTGCATTAAATTGGCAAATAATTCAAAGTCAACGTTTTTTTTCTATTTGAATTATATATTATAGCACTTTTAATTTTTCAACTATTTTCACTAATTATATGCACAATATTTGCTTGCATTGAGGTCGGTTTACTTTTTAAAAGTAAGGTTTTAAAGTACATATGTATGTACATAGTTGTTTTGTGTTTTACCGCCAAACCGCAACAACCATAAATTGATGAAATTGTAGTTCATACATCTTTAAATGTGTGTATATGTATATTCATATTATGTGCAGGTGCTAAAAAATATAATACAGCTTTGGAAACCCCACATTATAATACTTAAGCATTAAGCGCTTATATGGCGGAAGAACTTTTTTGTGCCAAGAATAAAACACGAAAAAAGTATAAATACTAATACATATGTATGTGTGTAGGTAAATAGAAATTACGCGATTATATTAAATAAAAAATATACATACCTATAAATCTACATAAAGTATACAATTTGTTATCGCGCCACTAATTTTGCAGGTGTTCAGAAAGATAAGGCATAATCAAAGAAAAATAGCATTTCGGCGCAATACATATGTACATGCACAGTTATGTACCCACAAACTTACATAGCAATATATTTACGCAGCTATAACATTTCTCGATTCGCATATTTAGAGTAGCGACTGTGAGAATCATTCTTTGGCTATTAAACACTTGTTATCGGCGCATGGGCCGCAAGTTAATCTTTCTTTCAGCTTTTGCAGAATTAAAGCCATTAATTCCCGTAAGACCATATACATACATATATATTGTTATATGTTATACATATATATATACATATATATGTATAACCGCATTTAAAACGGCAATATCTGCAGGTATTTAACTGTGCCCAAGACAGTAAGAAATATAATAATTATGAATAAAAACGGCACTCGCCACGGAAGTTCGGCCTCCTTAACTTCAATACGCGACATGTGTGCTCCATTAAGGTAGAAATTTATGGCGTTTGTCGAAAATGTATTTTTTTTTAACGAAACTGATTTTTGGGTTTTTATTCCAAACGTTGGTAAGCTAATTAAAAATTACGATGAGCTCAATTTGCAAATGGATGTAAGAATTTACAAAAGATTTAATTTTGCCTGAAAAATAGTAGATTTACAATAAAAAAAATACTGCAATGCAATCGAATTCTGCCAACAATGAACCCATTCGATGATTATCACAAATATACATATAGATATGTATACATGTGTATGCAAAAACACTTGTACTAAATGAATCAGTTTTTTAATTGTAAAAACTTTTTCTTTGTTTTTTGGTATTCTTATCACCAAAAGGAACAAGAAATGGGCTATAACAAGAAAAACGTTAACTTCGATTGCACTGAAGCTAAATACCCTTCACAGGTGCATTTCTATTAATAACTATGTGTTCAGTGTGTATGAAAGCTATGTGCTATAGTAATCCGTTCTAAACAATTTTTTGGAGATTACATTGTTGCCTTAGAAAATAATTTATACCAAATTTCGTGAATATAGCTTGTCAAACCTGAAAGTTTTCCATACAAGAACTTGATTCCGATTGTTCAGTTTGTGTGGCAACTATATGCTATAGTTAACCGATCTGAACAATTTCTTCGGAGATTAAATTGTTGCTTTAGAAAATAACCTGTGCCAACTTTTGTGAAAATACATTGTGAAATGTAAAAGTTTTTCATAGAAGAACTTGATTCCGATCGATCAGATTGTATGGCAGCTATATGTTATAGTGGTCCGAGGAAATGACGTTTGCAAAATTTCAAAACGATATCTTAAAAACTGAGGGACTAGTTCGTATATATACAGATAGACAGGCGGACATGGCTAAATCGACGATCGATATGTACCCACAATTTAATGGAGGTGTTAAAAGACATGCTTATCTTAAAAATCTGCCGTATTGATCAATGTATCGTATCGTGATTTAAATTAAAGAAGGTTTAGTTCTGTTTGAGTTATCTTTTTGAAGTCAAAACTTTTCCAAACCACACAAAAAGGTGGCACCCTTTCAAGGCACTAGCAGAAAGTGAAAGCATCCGATGGAATGTACAATTGTGCCTTATGGGAAATAGGCGTGATTGTGAACCGATTTCACTCGTTTTTACACCGTAATATGGGAGTGTTATGATAATGTATAACATTGTTGCAGGGAGCAAGATGAGGTGGAAACATAAGGCACTTTCTCCTTCATTGTCCAGCTTTCGCCAGACTAAGGTTGAATCATCTTGGTTACCTTCTTCGAACTCAGCGAATTGACTTTCAAAAATTTTGACCAGCTTAATAAATTTGTGACTGGATCCGTACTTAGGAGTTCTGGGGATCACAACGGACAGGCGCCTCTAGCAGTTCGTTACGTATATCCATCTATTTACCTAACCTAACCTAGAATGTGATATAGCATTATAAAAGCGGAGGTGATTATCCAATTTTCTTCGTATCTCATACGGGGGTAAAGTTTGTGCAATTAGTGGTATTACAAATAGACAAAACCACTCCAATTTTTCAAAAACTGTATATACTTTTATGTTCACCAAAATTTTAGACTCCCTTGATCCCGTAGACAATCAACAGGCGGGCTTCCAAAAAAAGGTTTCTGCCGGTGGGAAGAATTTTTCTGCTTAAAATGATGTCAAAACCCACAAAAAAGTACTTTTACTATAGATGAATAAAATAACATTTTAAAAAAAAGGAGTCTTTTGTGAAAAAATTTACAGTAATTCAAATCAAATCAATATCTCTGAAACTGTCTGCAGAATCAAGAAATTTTCGGAGAATTATCTCAAATAAATATATGTCTACATATGTACAACTCGGATACGCGAAAATAACGATTTTTTGAAATTCACCAGTGAATAAAACCCTTA